GGATCAGTTGTGTGTAACTAGGTTATTTATATTCTTTTTGTATATAAGTAATTAGATTAACTGTACATAATTGGTGGTAAGTATTTTAGGGTAAATTTAGACTGTATATATTTGGATAGGGATTAAATTTTGATGAAACTAAATATTTTAATTAATACCTGTTTTCCTTTTATATTTCAGCAAACAGCTTTACAAGATACCTTGAAAAGTTTATGTTAATACTTTCCTGGTGTCCACTCACATTTTCAAGCAACTTCTAAAATTACTTTTATTTGCATTAGTTATATACCTATAGATTGTTTATTACCTTGTCATTCATTTTCTTATTCTACGGTCTCTGTAGGGCATGCAAATTGGCCGAATCCTCTTTTGAAACTTAAGTAGTCACTCTCTTTATTTGTTCCCATAAAAGGAATATTTTTCATACCACTTATTTCGTTCCACGAATTTTCAGCCTGGATCTCATTTGTACCCTCTAAAATCTCATCGAGCACAATCATTTCTGCTCTCTCTTACATAAAACTCTCCTCATTTTCTGTAAGATCTGAATCCGAATCTCCATTCTTGTATAAATCTTCCACTGGAATTAAAAAATATATATCTACTTACATTCATCATGGTCGTCTTGCTCACTTTCTGTATCAGAGTTATATAAAAATTCTGTCATTTCCTATATTTTTTTTGGATTTCTTACATTTATGATTTTTCGCTTTTTCATACCTGAAGGTTGCTGCAAATCGCTCATTTTGTATAGAAAATCAGTACAACACAAATTAAAAACTTTTAATATTAACACGACATGTAAAATTAGGTACTACCCACAAGGTAATGTCAAAAATTCTAGGTTATATTTGAGATAATTTATTTACGAAAATAGGCAAACAGTTCTACAACGGATGATTTACTGTGATAAAATAGACCTTTCTACATCTGCGGAGTCATTTTTGTACCATTCCAAATACTGCGGAAGATATAGTTTATATTTGAAGACACATTTACATAGGCCTTTATATCGCGCCCTTCGCATTTTATGAAACACTCTGAGGACAAGATATCGCGCTTTCCGCAGTTAAAGGGTTCAAAAAATTAAAGACTTTGAAGCATTTGAAAAATATTTAAAACGTCAATGATTCTGACATTGTTAAATAAAATATAGAACAGTTCCCTACAAATACCCAAATAGCCATACTGAAGAGCTAAACTCACGATTTTTTTAACTGGAAAATCTTCATCTTCATCAAATAGTTGGTCTTTAACTAATAGTTCTTTATCAAATAGTTCTTTATCTTCATCGAGCTCATCACCTTCCACTAGGTCAGCACTCTTACTACAGTGTACGGACTTTGTAGCTAATTCAATGTCAAAACGTCGATTAAACTTAGCGAAAAAATCTTCTACTTTAGTTACTGAGTCAGAATCTAACATTGAACAATCGAGAGACCCCGAAGGAAAAAAGGCAAGGAAAATTATTCGATAAAATCAAAATCTAAGAAGTTCTGAAATATGGGTAAAGAATATATGTCATGGTCAAAATCCAAAAAGGTTATACCAATCAAAAAACGTGCAGGCTGCATGTACACCTTGTAAAATGTATTGAAGTAGCTCGTATCTGTCTTGATTTCTCATTATATGTCCCAAGTACTGCAGCTTACAACCCTTTACGATGTTGACCAAATCCGCAGTTGTGTTCATACTCCGCAGTACTTCTTCATTGGTGACTTTGTCTATCCATGATATCTTCAAGATCCTACTGTATGACCATAGCTCAAGAGCCTAAAGTTTTGATAGAGCTTCTGCCTTCAATGTCCACGTTTCTACTCTGTACAGAAGCACTGAGTACACATAACATTTAAGAAGCCTTATTTTTGATTTTAAGGTAAAGTCATGGCTCTTGAACACAGAACTCATAGTCAACTTACTCTTGCATTCTTTGCCTTTCTAATTCCACATTTATTCTCTTAAGTATAATTCTCTTTTAATTTTTCGCTGTCCATCATCTATAAATAAACGAAAACTAATCATTTCTGTAACAAAATATCATTTCGTAACACAATATTACTTTTAACAATGTTGCCGAAATGACGTTACTGAAATGACGAAATCTTACATTTTGTAATTTAGCTCCCTCTAGAAGTAACTTAGAGTATTAAAATTTTTGAGGTTATTAAACATGTCCTATTTTTTTTAAAGAAAAATACATTATATTGCTTATCTGAGGCAAAAACTTCGATGAAAAAGTAGTTACCGAAATCGTCAATAATAAGTATACGCCGAAAAAATCAGTCATTCATTAATTTATTAAAAAAAAACTTACCATATTACTTAAAAACCTCTGCCACTAACTCATACATACAGAAAGAAATAAACAAGTTAAGTCGGTATTGTAGATTTCTTCGCATAAAAGTTGTGTTACCGAAATGATGCGAGAGGTTTGGGACATAACTTTCTAATCTACAATATTTTTATTGGTAAGAACTAATTTTTTTATTTAACTAAAAAGTTAAATATTTATTTTCTATAAAAATGACTCTAAAAGGTATACCATGTGGTCCATATGTATGGAATAAACTCATTTTTAGCGTTATTATGTACTATGTGAAAATAACCTGAAACAGGTCGATTTTTATTCTTAAATTGACAATTTACAGTATGAAAATAGTATTCCTCACCAGCACCCTCTTTGAATTTATAAGCACCCCCTCGAAAATTTTAAATAGCAAAGGGGGTCGTGTAGCACCTTGTGAGAAAGGATTTTAGTCCTCTGTTCAGCAATGTAAAGTTTTTTGAGTTTGTGCAATTATAACTTAAAAAATTAATTTTTACAATATTAAATTAAATGATCAACTTGACCACTATTATTCACTTCTTGACAATAACCGAGGCGATTTTGGAATTCTCATACCACATCCAAATAAACAATTGATATGAATCTAGTAGGCTGCTGTCATTTTGGTATTTAAGGTTACTGGAAGGCGTGAGTATAATATTTGTGCTCGAATTAAATTTAATTATGGCTCATTTGTCCGAGACTAAAATAATAGACATTTTAACTATAATTGGTTGTGTTAATAAAACAAGAGCTCAAAAGGAGGTTTGTGAAATGTTAATAATGAATACCCTGGTCAACAAGTTTCGTAGTTTACAGTTAGCACAATTGCAAAGAACTTTCGTTATACTGGACATGTAGAAAATATTGAAAAACCAGGTAGAAATAATAAATTTATTGATGAAAAAAACTTAGATGTACTTTTGAACTCGAGAACTTGCCGCCATCAATGATATAAGTAAATCATCTATATTGAGAATTTTACATAAAGAAAAATACTACCCTTACAGTTCGGTTGGATCAGGAGTTAAATGAAGATAGAAGGCAAAAATTCTGTGAAATAATGATGGACAGAATGAACGCAGATTTGCAGTTCATAAACAAAATAGTTTTTTCTGATTAAGCGACGTTTCATTTAAGCGGAACGGTTAACAAACAGAACTGTAGATATTGGAGCAGAGAAAATCCTCACTGAGTGTGTGAGACTCACACGCAATATTCTAAAAAATTAACGATTGGGCTGGTATTATTAACAATAACATCATTGGTCCTTATTTTTTTGAGGACGCAGTTGATGATGAGAATATTTTTTCCTCATGTTAATCATCCAAATTAGATAGATGGACCTTTTTACGACCAACAATGTGGAGCTCTACTGCATTTTGCACTTATAATTATAAATTATTTAAACGAGGTTTTTCCCAATAGGTTGATTGGAAGACGTTGAACAATCGAATGGCCAGCTAGATCCTCCGATTTGACTCCTCTTGATTACTTCTTATGGGGTTATTTAAAATCAAAAGTATAATTTACTAGACCAAACAATATTGCTGATTAAAAAGTTGGGATAACGGAAGAAATTAACAAAATAACTCCCGGAGTCGTACAAAATGTTGTACGAGAATTCCAAAATCGCCTCGGGTATTGTCAAAAAGTAAATAGTGGTCATTTGGAACATTTAATTTAATTGTAAAGTACATTGAAAAATACATTCTAAATATTATGTGACATTATTATCTTCATTCAACCTAAAGTTTTGTGGTAAAGACATTATCAAAGTTTTACATTTTAAAAATCAATTTTCCAGGGTATTATTGCATCAAACTTAAAAAACTTAATATTACTGAACACAGGACTAAAATCCCTTTCTAACAAGGTGCTGCACGACCCCCTTTGCTATTTAAAAATTTCGAGGGGTGCTTATAATTCACAGGGGTATTGGAGGGAGATATTATTTTCATACTGTAAACTGTCAATTTAAGAATAAAAATCGACCTGTTTCAGGTTTTTTTCACATAGTACTTAATAACGCTAAAAATGAATTTATTCCATACATATAGACCGCATGGTATACGTTAAAAAGTGTTACATATATTTGGGTTTAAACTACAAATTGTGACTGTAGGATAGTTACCGAAAAACAACTCCGTTCTTTTCAATAGTTGTGGATTTACAAAAATATCTAAAACAGAATTCGAAATAAAATAATAAACAGCATATTGTACAATTGTGTGAACAATACCCTTACAGTAATTTTAGCAATAAAATGTGCATTAATAATCAATTTTTCTACAAACGTATTGAGCAACTGGACGTAATTTTTCATTTTTTTATCCATTATGTTTTTTCCATTATGTTTTGATCTGTGATAAATATTCAGCTGTTATTGTTACGTCATATTTTTTTTGTTTTGAAACTAACTGGACGGATGACTTCGGTATCTCTTCCTTTTTTACCTTTTATCACAATAGGTTTTTAATTATCACCATAATTATGACTTTATGCATTTGCTAGTGATATGATGTTTACTTAATGTAAGTCAAATAAATACCTACTCACTTTTGAGATAAGATATAGTAAGAATATAACTATAAAAACAATTTCTACTAATGCATAATTTAATTCAAATAGTACAACCGTGTTTGTAAGTTAATAAATAATTTAGTACACTAAAATGGCACATACATATAAAGTACATTACTTTGATATTAAGTTTATCGCAAGAGGTGAACCGATTCGAATGCTATTAAGCTATGGCGGAATCCCGTTCGAGGATGTACGTGTTAAGCACGAAGATTGGCCAAAAGTTAAACCCAGTAAGTACTAACTATTGTTACCATATAATAATAGTCAATACATGAGTATCAAAGGTTTTTTTTATTAAAACAATCGTATCAGCCAAATTGGCTATTTGCGAAACAATAGTAGCTATAAATTAATTTATATTACATTATTTATAATAAGGTAAGACGGCAATTAGGCCACGTTAAGGTTTAAATGTCTTTAATATTTTATTCAGCAAAAATATGGGGGAAAAGTCTTGTATACGTAGTGACTGCGTATTTAGCTATCGAATTTCACAATAAAATACTTAATAAATAAATAAAAAAATATAAATTGTTAACATTGAATAAATCTTAAATATTTGGCCTTATTTGGAATTGGTAACTTAATAAGGCCAGTCTCATTTTTAAACAAATTTTCGTGGATAATAAATTGTAAACCTAAGAATTAAAGAATAAATACAAAGTTTAGTGAAAGAAACTTTTATTCATCTTAAAAACAAAAATACATATATCGCACATTTACACACACCAAGGACATACAAATATATCCTTGTTGTCTTTTGTTAATCCTATGGATTCCGCGTGGATATACTTATTACAATAAACACACTTGCGCCAATCAGCCACTGTTCTCTGAATATTTTTTTTAATTTTGTTTTGGTTTTGCTAAGCTATGAGACTGTGCAATAAATAAATCTCTGGTAACTTACTGTGCTTTCGCATTAATGGCCTGTCGACGTTTTTTAGTTGATACTTTTTTGCCACCTTATTTTTATTATATTTATTTGACGTGTAAATTTTCTCCCTGGAAGCTGTACCACTTGTGTAAGACCCAGATGAGTCGTTGTCTTCATCTGAGATGTAAGTTTGAAAAGCTTTGGTCAGTCCTTTTTTTTAATAATTTTTTTTTACACCGCTGCAGGATAGCTGTTTTTCGAAATTTGTATCCTTTTTGGCAGTTGTTTTAAGTTCTGGTTCAATTGTAGGATCTTTTTGAAAATATTCGACGAGGTGCAACTAGGTGCAAAGGCAGCATCCGGAATAGTATTTGGGTTGAATGGCCATATTCCAGTTGCTTCATATCCAAAACAAATATTTTGCGTCATTGCGTTTTTCCAAACCGGCATAAATATTTGCCCAAATATTCGGTTTGGTGCTTTGGTGCTGGAGCAAAAATTTTCTCGTTTGATGGTACCTTCATTATTATGGTTCAGAGTAAAATTCAAAACTCCTGAAGACTGCTTTCTCAAGTGGTTCAAGCTCATGGATAATTTTGGATGGTAGACAAAACAGAGTTACATCTTATTTTATTGCATCTTCTACAATTTAATGTCTAAATTATATATTAAGCTCCATCAAAAATTAAACGGGCTGGTCCAGGATTTTTGAATTAGCAGAAGTGATCTAACCACTCAATAAATCCACTTTGTCATGCTTTCTTTCTTGGTCATTATAGTTTTTGCTTCTGTTGACAATACCATTCTGGTTTAACTCGTTGCCCTTTCATAATGATAAGTGGCGAAATGCGGTTCCCTATGCCGTTGCCACATGCCACGATTGTTATATTTTTGTAATGCTCTGGTGCAACGATATGCACCCTTTTAGTACCTTTACTAGCCAATACAGATTATTGGTGATACAGTGTAAGCTGGCATTCTTTTCCGTCCATGTTGTAAATTTGAGCAGGTTTCCCTGCGAAGACTTTCTCATATCAAGTTTGTCGAAATTTCTCGAAATAGTCACTAATCAGTGTACGATTCAATTTTTGAGAAAATTAAGTCTTTAAGCCCGATGCTTTGCAATGTCAGGATGCCTAGAAAAAACAATTTCATTCATTTTTTTATCTTCTTTTTAACTGAGAATTACTGTCTTATTCCTGTCTCTTTGACAAAAGCATACACGTTTTTTCGTAATATTTTGGTGATTAATTGCATACCCACGTCACTCAATCTTCATATACGCCTAACTAATTCATATTCCCTTTTAAGAAAGATCAAAAGGTTTTGTAAGTACTGGAGGCCGTCCAAGTCATATTTGTGAATTACCACTAGCTACACGGCTACGTAACGTACGCCGAGGAATATTAAATGTTGACAAAAGCATACACGTTTCTTCGTAATATTTTGGTGGTTAATGGCATACCCACGTCACTCAATCTTCACCAATTTTTTACCAAGTAATAAAAAACAAAATTTGTTTAATTTATTAATGTTTTGTATTTTGAAAACGATTTTCGAAGTGAACATTGAAACGTCAAAAATAAACTTACTTTAAACTTAAATTTTGGCTTATTCAACATAAGGATAGTAATTGTACTAAGATCGTCGGGCAAAAAGACAGAAGAGGGAATGTAAAGGTAGTGGGGTAAAAATATTGTTAGACGGGAAGTGCTATTTTGAGAGGCCACATTAAACAATGAAAGAGAGTCACTTTCCTTGTTTAAGAAATCAAATTTAGTTGGGTTATGTTATTGTTTGTCCCAACTGCCGCATGAAAGCTTATTTATATTGAAGGTTTTTAACAATTGTGTCACATTTTAGACTATTATCGTTATTATGTTAATAAAACTTTCTCGTCTAAGACTCATTCTGAAAAATATTTTATAGCTACTATGAAAAATTTGGCGCCTTTGCATTCCCGCAAATATCTTCCATATTAAAAGGCCACTTTTATGAATTTTGGTCCCCTTTTCATAACGATTAGATTCCCTCTTTTGTCTTTTTGCTAGATGACTAAGATGCCACGGTTTTGAAAAAAATTCGACTCTCTCATTTCTGATTTTCAAAGTAGAGGACCTTGCAGCATTAATCGGAATGTGGCAAATTTTTTCAGCTAACATATAAAACAGAATTATAGTTGTAAACGTATTTAAAAGTGAATGCAATGAAATTTGTTTTTATTAATTTTTTGTGTTTTTCTTTTTTTTCCTGTACATTAAAAATTACTCATTTTAGCTACTCCTCTTGGACAACTTCCAGTATTGGAGATAGACGGCAAAGCGATTCCCCAATCTAAAGCAATCTGCAGATACTTGGCATCACTAGTAAAACTAGATGGAAAAGATGTGAAAGAAAATGTTGCACTAGATGTCGCTATCGAAACTCTTTTGGACATACAAAACCGTGAGTTTTTAAAAAAAATTAGTGTACAGAATTACTTAGTTTAGAAAACTTAGTGTTCTTAGTCTTACAAAATATGTAGTATTTAATGCCAATACTTTGCTTTAAAAATATTACGTTTAACTTTGATGTCAATATAATATGATTTTACTTAAACTCTTAAATAAAAGATCGCATCTTTTTAAAAACATAGACATTTGTGCAATCCAAGAAACCAAGAAGAAAGGTAAGGGCCAAAGAGATTACAACCAATATTTTCTAGCATAAAGTGGAGTAAAGAAAGAAGAACGAGCACGAGTAGGCGTAGATATACTTTTCCATAAAAAAATAAAAGACAACATAATTAACTGTCGTTATATCTCCGAAAGAATAATACATATGAACATCACAATAAACTACCAAAAATTAAATGTCATATCTATCTACAGGATGTCCCAGAATTAATTGGACATTAACTAATGGGTGATAGCTGACATCAAAATAAAGCGGTTGAGTTCAAATTGCTTAGGAAAAATGTTGCTAGTCTTCGTTCTACAGGGAGATTCATTAATATTTTTTTATATTATTTTTATGGATATATTGAAAATTATTCAACCGATTTAAGTGAAATTTGGTATCTTGCTATTATTTAGTATGCTTAATAAGAAAATGATATTAGTTTTACCATTGACACTAGGTGGCGCCCCTTACTGTAACATTGGATCATTAATGGAGCCATAATTTTTTTGTCCGCCCTGTATAAACATACTAGGAAAAAAACATGAAATAACATTCAATTTTACACAAAAAAAGTATTCTTGTTTTAAATCAAAAAAGTACACCGTTTTCGAAATAAACGTATTTTGTTAATGATGCATGTCTCTATTTAATCTTTTGCAAAACAAGTCTGCTTTGAACTTGATGACAACGTCAAGACGTAACTACGAATTTTAGTTGTGCTAGTCATTATTTGTCAAAATGCTTATAAGTTTTTTATAAACCACTTAAGACAAAGGAAAAATGCCACGTCATAGTGAATTTTCTATGTAGAAATGCGCGATATGATCTGTTTGTATGCTCAGGAAAATTTTTGTTCTCGTAAAGCAGCTGAACTCTATTTCGAACTTTATCCCAATAGAAGGCAACCAAACGATAAAACTATTGATCATTATTCGACAGATTAGGCGAGACAGGGTCATTTCATCCCAAAAACATGAATGCTGGAAGACCGAGAGTAAATAATGCGGATATGGAGATGAAATTGTTGTGCGTGTTGCAGAAGATCCAGAAACCAGTACAAGGCTTGTTTCTGCGGCCACTGGTATAAGCAAATCTACGGTGTCAAGAATAATACGGACAGAAAATCTGTATCGGTATCGTTTTACTCCAGTACAGAATCTTTTACCACATGATTTTCCAGCAAGGCTCCGATTTAGTCAGTTTATGATGGGCGGCATTTAGACAATCCAATGTTTTATAATAAAATGTTATTTACCGATGAAGCCACATTTACTAGAAGGGGTGTATTTAACTGCGTAATAGCCATACCTACGCGACAGAAAATCCTCATGCATTTCAAGAACATCATTTTTAACACGAGTTTTTCATAAATACCTGGTGTGGCATATTTGGGGATTGTATTGTAGGACCATTCGAATTACCAACTAGGCTTGACGGAGTACCATATCTTAATTTTTTGAGAAAAGATTTACCAACTCTTTTAGAAGACATACCTCTAAATTTGAGACGGAACTCTTGGTACATGCATGATGGTGCACCAACACATTATAGCCTAGAAGTTAGAAATTATCTAGATGAAATTTATCCTCAAAGGTGGATTGATAGATGTAGTGTAAACCGATGGCCAGCACGCAATCCCGAACTAAATCCCCTAGACTTTTAGTTGTGGGGCTACCTAACGTCACTTGTTTATAAAAAAAAATAAATAACCGTCAAGAGTTATGGCAAAATATTGTAGAGGGATTTAACGTAATTAGGGTCCAAAGAAACTCATTATTTAAAAGAAGACAAAACTTACATAAAATAATTAGATTATGTAGTTTATCTAATGGTGCACATTTTGAACACTTATTGCAATTTTGTTTTCGTTTCGTTTTGAATTATTCACTTTGTTAATTGTTTTATATTCACTTCATTGTTTAATTTAATTTCTGATTTTTTTAAAATTTGTTACTGAGTCAAAGGTTTAATAAAAATTATTGTTTCAATCATATGCATTTTGTTTGTAAAAATTATCTACTACTAATACCTTTAATATTCACTTTTATTTAAGACCTTTTGAATAATGTTGGAATTTACATAAGTTTTTGTAATTTTTTTTATTTTATGCACGTCTCTAAAAAATAGGTTTATTTCGAAAACGGTGTACTTTTTTAATTTGAAACAAGAATACCTTTTTTGTGTAGAATTAAATGTTATTTCATGTTTTTTTCCTAGAATGTTTATATAGGGTGGGAAAAAAAAATTATGGCCGCATTAATGAACCAATGTTATAGTAGGTGGCGCCACCTAGTGTCAATGGTAAAACTAATATCATTTTCTTATTAATCATACTAAATAATAGCAAGATACCAAATTTTACTTAAATCGGCTGAATAGTTTTCAATATATCCTTAAAATAATATAAAAAAAATATTAATGAATCACCCTGTAGAACGAAAACTAGCAACATTTTGCCTAAGCAATTTGAGCTCAAACGCTTTATTTTGATGTCAGCTATCACCCATTAGCTAATGTCCAATTAATTATGGGACACCCTGTATAGCCCGAGGACTGCAAACCTAAGGAGGAACGAGAGGCATACTACGAATAATTGCAAACCATCCCGGATGAAATACCTCATAAAGAGCCCTTAATTCGTGCACTTTATTGCACGAATTAAAAATGAAAAAGTTCCAGGAGTAAAACAAAGATTTAATGAAAACCATGTCTACGCAAATGGAGAACTCATGGCTAATCTTTGTGCTTTTAACGAACTGAGAATCAATAATACATTTTTCGACGATAAGCTCTAGTATAAATATATATTTGAAGACTCCTGGGAGCATAAATCCATGATTTATTTTATAGTCACTAATCGAAAAATCCACCAAAGCAGATTCTAGATATCCGAACTTTAAACTCAGCAGACGCAGGGAGTGAACACAAACTAGTACTAACAAAGATAAGAATGAAAATAACACCAAAACATTTTCTATGGGAAATCACCGAGGAAAAATTCAACGTAGAATCACTCTAGAATGACTCTACAAGAAAAATGTACCAAAGAAGGCTAGCACAGAAGATACAGCTAAACCAAATAGACGACATCGAAGATATAAACGCGAGCTGGCAGAAAATAAAAAACAACATTAAAGAAGTAGCACCAGAAGCTCTAGGAAAACGCAAAGTTATACTGAACAAAAGAAAAAACAATATCATTTCTATGTTTTATAGACCTGACAAAAGCTTTATATCGCATTCACCTACTGTATAAAAAAACAAACCAATCAATATTATGCAAACCATCTAACCATCTAACCATCGAACACATCTACTTTCATAATCGAATACGGGCAAACGTAAAAGAAAAACTAACACAGCATATACCAGTACAAATCAGAGTCAGGCATGGTGACTCGGTACGCCCACTTCTCTTCAATATAATAGTGGACGAAATAATACAAGCAGTACTTAAAGGTCATGGCTACAGAATGAGGAACAAAGAAATCCAAATATTATGTTATGCAGATGACGCCGCATTAATCGCCGAGACAGAAGAATAACACACATCTTCAATATAACAGCCAATAAATACAATATGATAATATCAGCAGAAAAAACAAATATAAAAACAATATAAGAAGATAATAAAGCATGAAGCAAGGTTTAGATATCTGGGAATAGATATAATTAGTGTGGAGATGTTGAAGAAGAAGTACGACAACAAAGCTTCAAAGCAAGTAAAACGACAGGATCTCTTAATGATACAATCTGGAAGAACAAACACCTAAGACAAGACACAAAATAAAAAATATATAAAGCAGCAATTAGACCTATATTAACATACACGGTGGAGATAAGACCTGACACATCTAAAACGAGACGACTACTAGAAACAACAGAGATGAAAATACTCCAATGACTATAAGCGAAAAGTCTGTTGGATAGGGAGAGAAGCGAAATCATAAGAAGAGCATGAAATATAGAAGACATAAATGGATGGAAGAAAAACATAAACAGGAGTGGGACCAACACATTAGTAGAATGGTAGAGGATAAAATAGTTATAATAGCACAAGATCAGTTACCAAATGGACGAAGAAATATTGGCTGACCAAGAAAAATATGGTGCGATAATTTAAACAATTTAGGAGGCTAATATTGAAAAAGAAACAGGCTTTAAAGTGTACAAGAAGAAAAAAAGAAGAATAAGATCTTTTTAAGATATGGAATAAGTTGTTGGCCACTCACTATAGTGATTGAAGACTTTTACAAAAATACGAAATATCAATATTTTCAGAACTTATAAGGAAATAAATAATATATTTGCAATGCACTCTGGCAATATTTATATTTATTTTGTCTAACGGTCAACTGTCTCAGTTACGATTGTCTTGTTCTTATGACGTGAGTTACTCAAAGTTTAACAGGTGGATATAATTTTAAGAGTTTTCTAAAGAATTCATTTAGACCAATGACTGTAATTTTATATACCAATAACCATAGTTGTGTGGCCAATAATTGTGTAGTTTTTCTTTTGTAATTTGTGTTACTTAATTGTTAGTATACATTATAATTTTTTTATGATAACCTAAGTTTTTATCAAATTTGATGTTTCATTGCTATTAAAAAAACCTTACAAAATGTTTTACTTTAAAAATATGCCAATTTACAATTTTAATTCAATTTACGTTTCCTCAAGTGGCCAATGACTTTACCCGTTACCCTATGGTCTTTTATTTAAATACTTAAAATGATGTTTGTTTGAATATTAAATATTAATTACTTGAAAATCAATAGATT